AGAATCATCTTGGCATTGTGATGATGTCACAATAAATAATTGTTCATTTTACTATTATTTTTAATTGATAAGATTTAAATTATCTTAAATCATAATTAACTTATTTGTAGTTATTAATTTATAGCAGATATTAATTATCAAAAATCTCTTTATTGATTATTTAACAATGCTTTGTTGTATAAGTTTAAATACTCTAAGCTTCAAACATTAACTAGAATATTATAAATTTTAAATTTGTTGCTAGAAAATTAAAGTGTATTGATATATTTTGAAGCATAATCCAATTTGATACTCATTTATTCTAGCCATATGGCATCACTGACCAAAAGATACAGAAAGTTAAGATTCTTTTAACTTTGAATACTGACTGATTCTTTTAAATTTAAGAATATTCTAATAAATGTTTTTATGATTTTGAATGCATTGAAGATAAATAAAAATGTTTGATGGCACTTTGAAGTAAAAACAGATTCAAAGCTGTTTTTACTTCATTAAAGCAACTGATTGTTACTTTCCTAAAAGCTTACTTCTTATAAAAAACATTTTTAAAAATAAAAAAATAAAAAGTTAATGTAAATGGGCTATTTTTAATTTTTGGTATTTTCACCTAAATTTACAAACAATAAATTTATAATTTCAGATAAAATTTGGATCATCTTTTATTTACAGCAAACACCTATTGGAAATAAAACATAATACAGAATACTCAATTTAACTACTTGTTAGCATCTCTTAAATATAAAGTAGAATATTAAATTTAATTACTTATATAAATTAAGATATACTCTGAAGACTCAATGTAATATTTGATAACGTTGACAATAATGTCCAAAAATTTCATATGCATTATATTGTATTAAGTTTATATATTTTGTAGTAGTGTCTAAGAAAGACACTGTAGAAATTTTTTGAATCCTAGAAATGATCTTTTTATCAAATTTGAAAAATGTAAAACTAGGAGTGAACCTTTGACTGTTTTATAAGTGATTTTGTATTGTATTGAGTAGCATTAAATTATATCTATAGTGCACATATAAAAAATTACAATATTTAATACTTTACTTTGACATAACTCTTAAAGCTAAATCATCAATTTCAATTTCCTGCTTTGTCTTCTTCTTATGTTTATCTCTTTTCCTATGTTTCTTCTTTTTATGTTTTTCAGACTTCAATGACTCCTATTAGTGATTAAAAAATTGTAAAAAGAATTTTATATGTGAAATTATTTTTGTAATAATGAAATAAATTTACTTTATTTGAAACATCTTCACATTCTTCTACTTTTTGTCGTTTTGCTTGTACTTCCACTTCATTTTCTTCATTTTGTTTTCTTTTTAATACATTTTCTTTCATATCTTTTTCATTTTCTATTTCACTGGATTGAATTACTGTATCCATGCCTAAACAGAAATTACTAGTTATAGAAATTATCCAGGTAATTATTTATAAAATTTAATATATGAATTAAATTTAATTTGTTATAGAAAGCTAAAAATCTTGGAAGTTAACAGGGAAGTTCATAAAATTTTATCTCTTAATAATGCTTCCTTTTGAAATGACATCATATATTGAGTTCAATTCACCTAAGAAAATTCAACAAGAAAACTCTGTGATTGGATAATAATCTCACTCTCTATCTAATTTTACCAAATTTGGTATGTCCAGAGACATAGGAAAAAAGATGATATAAAAGGAGAAGGTGACGGAAGATCAGGGAGTTTGTTCACTGTTTAGGTCATTTTCTGAGTGCATCTTTAAGACTGACCAAGGAAGCTACCACCACCCGATAGAATTGAAACTATCATCTTGTCCCGACAATGAACTCAGTGACTAATAGTTATATGGAATTCCATGGATTTGTGAGAACTGAGAGGGTATGCTTACATCGTACCTCCTTGGATTGGCTTTCAAGTCGGAGGGACTTGCCCACTTGTCAGAGATGGCTTAAATTTTTTCTTTAGTTTATCCTGAGGGAACAGGACTAAAACTTTTTTGGGTCAAGAGGGAGGGAGGAGTGCTGTCGAAAAGGCGACAGACGATATATGAGTAAAAGAGGACACCAATTTAACAAAGAAACAACGATTTATTGGTTAACTACATAGACTATACAATAATCTATAATCGCGAAATTCCGAGTGAAAATTCTGAGTCCCTAAAGCGCGAAGGGGCTGAGAGAGGGTTCACAGAAGTGGGTTCCATACCTCTTTCTAGATTTGGATATCCACGGGAATGAAATAATCCACCGAGACGTAGAGGATTGAATCAGGGCACAAAATTATAGATAAATCCTAGAGTATGTGGCATGTCTACTGTCGATGAGCAACTCCCCGGAGGGGGAGAGAAGTGGCTTTTATTGCTTCATGGTGGGAAAATTGTCATATGACTAATTAGTTGAAAGGTAAAAGGTGTGCGGGGAGGTCAGAGGTGTCCCTGGAACCCAAATAAAATGACAAAATCAGATGGTAACTATAAACTTTAAGTCTTATAGTGTGGGAATTGGTGTCGAGATGTGTGAATGTTTACTTTGACGAAAGGGGAGGTTAAAATTGCTTTTTCAGTTTTTTCTAACACTAGCAATGTTGTTTCTTTGAGAATTTAATCATTTTTTGGTAATAACGGGACATTGATCGGGGAAAAATCGGTATAAAATCTGGATTTCACAGATTTATTTAGAACCACTCCCCACTAAGGAATGCCTCACCTAAGAGGGAATGCCCAAGAAATGTTATTTAGAAATAACTGTCCTCACACAATCCTTACATAAACTCTCTCTCTCTCTTGGATGTAGGTAAGTGCAAATACATTAAACAGAAACATGATCTGAGTTCTTAGCCCCCTCTCTTGATTGTTCAGCTAGCTTATATTGTTATGTATAGCAATAGTAGGTTATATAATCATATTCTTATGCCATAATATGTATAAACAATACAAATGTAGTTCTCTGCCATATTTTGTACTATATATTGAAAGTCTCTTTATGTTTAAAATAAAGCTTTGTTGTTTTATTGTTAATTTAATAGCAGAGTGAATCACTTCTGGGTTCTTGTCTCTCAACTTCCTCCTCTGTTAGATTACCACTCAAGTTCCCCAAATGCAACTGCTCACATGCATGCTCGAAAGATTCCTGTGAGCTGAAATTCACAGGTAGTGTCAGACATCCTGACCTGGGGTGCTATAGTCATGCTTGTCACACACAATAATTTTACTGCAGAATTTCTTTAACAGTAAATATAAAAAATATATAGTCATTGAAAATTTTGTATTAAGAAAACAAATATAATTTCTAACAATAAGAATACAAAATATCATAGTAATAATATAGACTGTGTGTGTTGCATTAAATAATTTTGCTGGAGTGAAAATTAAAAAAAATGTTTGATAATCAATTGAAATGTAGATGTTGAAAATAAAAATAATTTTTCTTCAAGAATAACATTACAGTAGACTCTACAGTAATCATGGATATTATCATCATTGATTTTATGTTATCCAAATTAGCAGTTTCAAAACGTAAGTTAAAATACACTATAAAAAATTTACTTTTGTTATCATCATCTGCAGATAAATAGATAAAGCTATCTTTCCATGCTAAAAGTCTCAACATGTGGTTAATAGCATGCAATTTTTATCAATTTTAACTAGTACTTTAAGCATTAATCATTTTAATCATTAATTGCTTATAATACAGTATTTTAAATTGCTGTCATTTCTTACTTTAATTATACCTTGTTACCATGTCTAGTATTATTTGCCTGCTAGTCTTTAGCTGTCACTAAAAACTAAACAGGCAAAAATTACTAGACAAATTATATATTAATAAATATTCCATGTAATATACAATATAAAATTTTTTATTGTTTTAATATGTCTTTTTAATGTCAATTAAACCAGAATTTCTACTAATTTACTTATCTTGCTAATATTATCACTTGGTTATTGTTATCAGTTTAAGCTAATACCAAGTAATTACAATAAGCAAATTATACTATATTTATTAATATTGTAAAATTAAAACAATGTATAATTAGTTGGTTACAACTTTTTAGTGTTTTTATTGTGTATCTGCACTGTAAAAAATATTTTATGAGAATTACTGAAAAAATTACTTTTTTTCAGAAATTCATTATAAAGTTTTACTTAAATATGCTTGTTAATAAAAGTAATAATTCATGATAGATTAATAATAAATAAATAAATAAACAGATATTAATGATATATCAATATAACTTTATATAGCTTTAAATTACTCTGTACTTTAAATTAAAAATTATTTCAATATATTTTTACTATAAAATTTACCTCTTCATTGTCAAAATTTAAGAGGAAAAGAAGTGTCCATTGTTTCTGTTTTGTTAAGAAAGCCTTGAAAATACTTTGAAATTAAAATAAATTTTTCTAGGATCTCCAACAAAGCAGAAAACATTGGATTAAAATAATATTTAAATAAAATAAATACTTACTTGTTAGGTCTTCATACATAATTTCTTGCCTTTCCATTTCATCATTGTGATTCATGAAATACTAAAATGTATTAAAATTATTCATATAAAATTTAAATATTAAAATATATCAAAAGAAAAAGCAAAATATAATATTTTTACAAAAAATATATTCATGAATAGTTTTATAAAAATTTAGTCAGATCTATCTAATAAAAGCTAAAATAAGCCTATAAGACATGTTTTCCTATATTATTTTTAATATTTTTACTTTAAAATTTATACTAATCCATTGTATTTCTCATACACAAACCTTATGATGTGCTGTGCTGGTTAATTTATAATGTAAATTTCAAATTGCATCATATTCTGTTTGGAATGTTTTACTTTTTTTGAATATTCTATCTGTGGAATGGCTTTTTTACCTGAGGAAGGCTTCTCAATGTGGCTAAAAACATTTATATTTTCTATTAAATATTACTGGAATAAGTACATAAAGTTTTTTATGTCAGTGTCAATTGTCACAACTTTGAAAATTTGGAGATGTGAATTTAGAAAAAGTGATATTTGTAGAGAAAACTGGATTTTGTTTTTAAATGTAAATACAATTTAATAATAATTAAAATAACATTTAAGCATTAAATTATATAAAACTACAGGTAATAAAAAAATAAATGACACAGAAGCTGTTTACTTCAAAAAATTTGTTATAGATGTTTTCCCTAGAGCAGGTGTGTCAAACTCATTTAAACAATGGGCCATTAATGCAACTGGTAAGATTCATGCAGGCCACATTATATTTACGAATTTTCTTAAAACTATAATCTGAAATGAGAATGCAGGAATATAGATAGGGAAATTAAAACACATTATGTAGTTCAGTGAATTCAACTCAACAAAATATAATTGCTTTAGTATTGCTTTTATTTAAACATTTATTTTATTTTATGTACATATTTATAAAACTATAATTATTTTCATTGAAAACTTGCCAGCACTATCGTCCTCCTCTTAGTTTTCCAATATCTGGATTCAAAAACTGAGAACAATCTTCATTATGGCAGATAGATGTTTATCAGTTAATCTTGATTCATAAGCTGTTTTATTTAATTCCAGAGCATCATGGCCTCAGACCATAAAAAACCACATTGGGAGCTGCCAGTTTGACACTCCTGCCCTAGAGCATATGCAATTATTTTAAATTTTGTTTTTGATTTTATTTAAAGATAAAGCTTCTTTACTATAACCTCTTGGTTGATGTTGGAAACATTTAATTATTAATATTTGAGATTTTACTGTTTCAAAATTATAAACATATTTAGACTTGTAATTTGAGATGTTTACATTTATCTTTTTTATTTCCTCACAATTATCACTTAAATATGAGGATTTTCCACAGAATTAATTTTTGTTTAATAAGATGGCATTACTTAAAAATATGAAACAATCCATGAAAAAATGATATGATTATTTAGCTTTTATTGGCAAGTTTTTCCATTTCTTAATAATCATAAAGTCAGTAACTGCTGTTAAATATTTGTTTCTAAAACCATTCAAGCAATTATGTTGTAGAACAATAGATGGAAAGGAAGAATTTAAATCAATTTGTTGTCCAGGCTATCTGTTCTTTATGATGCAGTTCAGACGAGATAATATTTTTGGTTACGTGATAAAAGTATATGCTTTTCATCTTTCTTTCCCATATGTGAAGTATAGTTAATTAAAAGTATTAGTTATAAAGATGGTTTTATAATCAAAGTGGATAAAAATGGATTTATAGTTACACCAAGATAATATTTATTCTTAAAAATGCACATAATATTACCTGCTTACAACACCAAGTGACAGTGTAAAGGATAGGATGGAACTAGCAAATGACTGACTTTACAAAAGTTTTATTTTAGCATCATTAATTTGTACAGGGTCAAAACTGGGATTGACTATTTTGTGAATTTAAGAAAGGGGAACTTTAGACAGAACCAATTATATATATAGTCAACTTGTCTTAAAATGAATACCTATAAAGTGAATTCTGGTGTCAATGCAAATTTTGCTGTTGTCCTGGCAAAATTCCATTGTCACATTAATTTTCATGCAATAAAGCAATTAAAAATTTTACCAGAATTCATTAAACCAAACTGTAAATTATCTTACAACCCCCAAGAAATAACCATTTCCAATAATAGCTGCTTTTTACACTTTTCAATGTGAACAATAAAAAAAATAAATGTTCCATTTTGAGTAGAATAGATTTTCTTCTCTTGCTAAGCAAAGATAGATTCAACCTCTGACTATAGAGCAATTCAAGTATCTGGTTTCAGAGGACCATTCTACTGTACTCAGAAAATAGGGGTTAAAATTTAAGGATGCCCACCTCTTTAAATGAATGCAATCCTATACAAACATGTGCTAGTTTGCATATCAGGAATGAAAACAGTGATGCCAGGTTTGGCTACTTTGTGCCAAATTTAGCTCTTTTTATTACACTTTTCGTACAAAACATATTTTCTACTTTTTCAACAGAAAAAAAATTCACAATTTCTTTAGTTTTGTTTTGTTTAACCACTCTGGTATACTGCTCCACACTAAACAGCAAATACTGTCTCCTCATTTTGTTTGATTTAAATCATTTAGAAGATTAATTTGTTTTTGGAGTGCAATTTGAAAACATTGTAGACTTATAAATTCCCACTGTCATCCATCCGTCCTTCCTTAATCTTGAAAACAGAGTTAGATACATGAAAGTCAAGACCAGATGTAGAAAGCTTAGGGGCAGGAGGACCCAATTAACTATATGCAAACTTCCAATGAAAACAAGAAATCACATTATTTCAATTCAAAAATTTCTCCCTGAAAGGAATTAGATAATGACTGGCAGGACTCTGTTGCTAACAGGAAAAGTATGATGTACAGGGGCAAGACACTACTAATTTGAGATGGAGAGCATATACAGTAATACCCCAAACTTACGCGACAGGTGG